AGGTATTGGTTGCATTTGAGACGATGATGATGCAACACACGATCTGGTGCTTGGCACGACCTCGCTACTCAGTGACTCTAGACTCGTGCCAGCTGTTTGATTTAGGCCAAGCTTGCACGATCGCCTCAAGCACTCGACCAATATTATTAGCTTGGCTTAACTCTCTGAGTAATTATGTTTATGGAAATTCGATGCAATGAAGTTATTTGAAGGCATTAAAGCTTTTCCTGTTCCGTTTGTAAGATATTACAACAGTATTCTTATTTATCTGGTCATTTAATTTAATTTAATTTAGATTGAGTGTGACACAATACCTAAAGTTATTGATATACCCTTTGAAGACATGGATCAAAATTTAGTCTGGATTACTCAAACATACTTTACGCTGCCTCAATTATGTTATTCAGGGTATTCGGGTGATTCATAAAACGTTAATGTGAGCTATTTATTAAACCATATACGACTTCGAGGATGCATTAGATATTTTTTCGGTACTCCACTTCTCCATCGTATAATGATGGTACCCAGTCAACCATTCACGAGGCAACGAGCGACCTGACTTCATTACTGTCCTGACCTGTCTTTACGGTTGAGTTGAATTTCTCAGGCCAGCATGACCGACTTCTTGTAGTTTGTTCATGCACGACGCGCGCCCCGCAGGCTTGTAATGCCGCCCCCGTCTAAAGTCGATACCGTAGCGACTGCCGCAGTCCTTTCGTCAGTTCAATATTATTTCTAACTTCCATCGCTATCTACGATCACTGTAACCTTTTGATCAAACTAACGAATTTTCAAAATCTTTATATTACCGTTTCCTCGAGCTAGAGACATGAAGAGGCTGATGTTTGTTGTTCTAAAATGAAAGTGCAACATTCTTTTCAATAATTATCAACTATTCGTGAATATGTCAGCCTAACTTTAAATAATTTGCTACTGCGTGCATTGTCGAAATTGTCGATTTTGTTTTGTTTAAGTTACGCCAAAAACCTGTTATTGTAAACGGCATGGATGCATGCAAGTCATCTCATTTCAGTTCCTAGTGTCCTGTTAGCTCCACTGACCTAGAGAGGAACCTGTCTTGTTAGTACAGCGGCCTCGGCAATGCAGGCTTCTAAATCTACTCGAATTTGCTGCTGTTCTGGGCAAAGTTTAGCGGGCGCTAAGTTCCGAAAGATAGAGATTGAGTAGAGAGTCAAAGCAGTACTTTCTTGATTTTCAATGTCCAGGAACCTGTAACTTTCTTAAATATCAATGTTTTAAATATATGCATGAATATATATGTTATAAATATATGCATTGAGGTTCTAATAAAATACTTGGCAATTTTTTACATACGTTCCAGATGCTATTCTACATCCAAGTTCTTGAATATCGTGCGCTGCATAGCTTTGTCAGATAATATTCAGGGCATGATTGTTTCAGTGATTTTAATCCATCTCATGGCGGCGTCACGAGTATGATAATCTTGATAGTACAATTTTTATTGTTATTTTAATAACTGCAAGGGCATCACTTGTCCAACAGTAAAATTGAATGGGAAGGAAAAAGCTTCGTAATCGCAAGAAAACCCGCTGTGCCACTGAACCTCCAACACCACTGGTCTGCTGCCTGCAACCCTCTGGGGAATCAGACGTGCCTTCTGCTGACCTGCTTAACGTTACCTGGACTTGGGACGTCCGAGGTCCCCGACGTCCTCGTACCCTAAAACGTCATCGCACCGTCAGAGCCTCGATGAGGAAATGTAAAGTTTTTCGCAAGCTTCGGTCTGGGCTGAATCCAGAACTCGAACGTCCCCGTGACTCCCAATGTTCGAGCGATCGGTCGTCCGAATACTTTGATGCTCTCGCAGACAATATGGAGGGCGATAACTTCAATGACAATTGGCCTGATGAACTTGAGTATTTTACTGGCGCAGACGATGACATGGGGCATGTGCGTCTATATGAAAGGCGCCGGCTTAATACCATCACCAAAACCTTCTCTCATTTCTATCCTGGCCACAATAATTCTAGAGGTCAACTATCAAACATGCGCAGCATTTCTCAAGAAATTTCTGCGGGCAGCGATCCTCTACTTAATTCTTTCGAAAATTCTCAGAATATCCATAACAACTTTTCTGAAAAATTGGAGTCTCCTGTGTTGGCCCGTGAAAGTCGATCAAGAAACAAATCAACTTCCTACATGAATTCCTTAGCGAAAGTATTTCATTGGACCCTGAGAAAATTTGATGCGCCAGTCGCAAGATCTCCTGCTGAACGAGAGAATAAAGTCTCGACTGTAATCACGAGGAATGATTTCTCTTTACCGGGGAGTGATAGTAATGTAATGGAAGGAAAGAGTAACATTTTGCCTGCTAGACATAGTTACGGCAGGATGTCAGAAATTCAATCTGACAGCAATTTACCCACAAGTACTTGGGATCCCTCGCTAAAAGCCGATCGTAAAAATGTCAAACGTTTCATAACTAAACTATGCAAAAGGATTCTTGATCGAAGACGAAATCCGGAGGAATTATTGATTGAAAATAGTCAGAATAAAAAATGTAGAGAATTTTCATATCCTGGTTATTCGTTTTTCCCTTTTGCCACTTCAAATCAAACCGAACGACGTCGCAAGAACACTTTGAGAAAAGGGAGTGTTGTTTCTAATGAATATAATGTGCTATTGAAAGGAAAGTCCAATGGCTGGAAGAATAAATACAAGAAGAGTATTTGGTACTCGACTGAGTGGAAATATGCCGACAACCTCGTTCAAAGCTCCAATTTGGATCACAACCCACAACCAGAGTGGGTTACTCTGAACCTGCGCAGAAACTCGTCAAATAATTCAAGCTCAAACGAGGATTCTTTTTTGAAGCGATTTAATGTTCCTGTAAGAGATAGGGTAGAATTTTTCGACTTGAGAACGCCACCGAACCATGAAGAAAATCAAGTCACAGTCGTAGTGACCGACTGTGACTCAGCGAATACTCATGACAAGATTTTAAGGGAAATAGAACACGATAGCTCACGCAAGTCTCAAGAAAGTGATAGAAGAAAACAAACAATTCCGATTGCAACTCCTCCACCGAGCCCTTTGCGTAGGAAATTTCATATGCCTTTCAGAGATTCCTCTATGGTAAGTTGACTGCACATGAAAAGAAATTTTTATAAATTTATTATGCTCTCTATGCTAGTAGTTTCTGGAAAGTTTGTTGGATGCCGTTCTCAAGATATTTTCAGCGTTAGCCTTGCAGTCTTTGCGATGTAATGTTTTCTCTCTGGTGTGAAATTTAAAAGGTATGAACACTTGAACAACAGGAGCGATTGTCTCCTTATAGTCGATCTCCAAATTCGCAAGTTCCTAGGAAATTATCAAAGGTGAAGGTTTTTTCTACTCACGACGTTCAGTTTGATAGCTCAATCGTCGCACATGTCTCACGGCGTGAGCTAACGACGAGCAAGTCAAATTGCCGTGATTCACAGTTCCAAGCCTGATGTTCAGTCAAACGATTCAATAAATTCTTGATAATTTTAACTATAAAACAATTGACATTATTATTGAGAGGTTAGAAATATTTGGCATCGTTGCAGGTATCACTAATTTTATCGACCGCTTATTTTCTAGGCTTCTACTCGAAAAGATTAAAATTTATTTTCGCTTATTCATTGCGTAGAGCGTCTATTCTACCTGCAATTTTGTTTAAAAAAGCAATATGCGCCGTAAAATGGCAAATTTAAATGAGTTGTGCAATTTATTTTCTCAAGTTGTGCGGTCGCGGCAGTGCACTCAAAGCGCATCCTGTAGCGTACGTGACCAGCATCTGGGAACCTTGTTAAAGATTTCTCCTGCATGGGTCCAGCTCGTCGAATGTTAGATGAACTTACTGCCCGTGCCGAGTGTAACTGGAACGAGAATATAAGAGTGGCCGGAAACACGGAACTGGTCTCATACCTAAGAAGTTTAGAATAGTACCTGTGAAATACTGAAATTACATGACGATTGTTGACACGCGGCTCTCGTAACATAGGGTATTTTTTCTTTTAGATCAATTGGCTTCTTGCTTGTTAGTAAGGAATCATTATAACTTCTTTAGCAAATGAGGAAATATGTTGTTGAAATAATAGGTGCTATTTATATATTTATACCTAAATTACTAAAATTTATCCCTAAGTAAAAAAAAGACAAACCTCTCCCAATATACAGTGGGGGGAAATAAATATTCGTACACTTGAAAAATCGTATTTTAATATATGTAAGTACACAAACTTAACAGGAAAAGTGATTTAAATTATGTATAGAGACGCATAGTATTCAAAAATACTATCAAAAGAAATTAAATCTCAAATACCTAAGAAGTTTAGAATAGTACCTGTGAAATACTAAAATTAAATGACGATTATTGAGACTTGGCTCTCGTAACATAGGGTACGGTACCTATTTTTTCTTTTAGTTTAATTGACTTCTTGCTTATTGGTTAGGAATCATTATAACTTCTCTAGCAATGAGGAATATGTTTTTGAAATAATAGGTGTTATTTATATAATTATGCCTAAATTACTCAAATTTATCCCTCAATAAAATAAAGCCGAACCTCTCCCAATATATTTTTTTACGTTAAGTCATACTTAACTTAAATGCATTCCATTGCAATCTTTTGCATTTTTGTGCTCATAGCGTGGTCCCGGGATCTATCAATTCGACGCTTTTGACATGGCTTGCGAATGAAATTACCAGTTTAGTTTTATTTGCCGCTTTCCTGACTCCGTCTAATCAAGTACTCCCCCAGGCGAGCGGGAGCCGCAAATCAAAGTTGCCTCAAATTCTTTCCGTCGGTTATAACCCGGCCATCCTGAATTTGAAGAATGGAGTCAGTAGTGATGTGATGTTTATTATCTTGTTGAACCGTTCTGAACGAGCATAAAACAATTAATCATTTCCGGTTTTACGTGCGCATGCTTCCTCGTGTGCCACACGCGTCTTCAAGTTCGTGACGTATTTTTCTTTCTTTTTTTTTCCAGAGCCGCGGGAGCATCAGCGGAGGTAGCGATGATGGCCACTCTGCAGCGCCTTCGTCAGATTGCGAAGATGGAGAGGTTAGTTGTGGAGTTTCTGATATATTTTAATTGGGCCACTTTTCTAAATAAATTTCTAACTAACCGTGTTGTCAATCGATACTTATTTGATTGAGTATTCATCAATCGTATGAGACTAAATCAAATGATGTTCTCTTGTAAAATTGAATTTTCTAGGTACCTAGTATGCCACTTTCTTCTATTAGAGGTTCGTGCAACTTGCACACTTCTGCTCCATGGAATTAAACGCTCGCTTGTAAGGTAGTGAGACGCAGTCTTTCTCAGTTACAAAATTTCGCGATCTGAGTACAAAAATTGGTATTCATAAGCGAGATTGGTTTACCTCATATGTTTCTAAGGCTTTCGTGTGCCGGGACTTGCACAGTTTACAGAGGCCCGGGTTCCGCATGACAAGACACTACGCAGCTTGACCGTCGTTTCCGTTCTCCGGCACACTCTTGACTTGAATCAATGATTAAGCCTTTCCGAAAGGCCTGACGTTTGATTTTGGGCTGCATATATTAGAACTAACTTCTTTGCTGAATATTAATAACATTGTTACGTACATAACTATCACACTGAATATCAATGTGATTTAATAGCCTGCGGTAAGTATTGAACAGGACACGTTGTGGTACGTAGTACGGAACTTTTTGAGATGAAATTCAAGCGTAAGATTTTATTCTCGGGATAGCATCCTTATTCAGATAATTAAAATTGCAATCCTGCGCTCAAACTTCTCAGAATGGTCATTTGTCATTACATAAATGTAATTCAACATGCTGCAAAAGTTCAACCTAATCAACCACAACTTCCCCTTGGGTTAATATGAGAGCAAGCTGATCATTCCCGTAACATTCGAACGGATTTATTTTGCTTGTAATTAATGACCTCGTGATTTTGGTGATGTCGAGGATCATCACGAAGCACAGCGACATTTTCTCACCGCGTGTCATGCAAGCGCAATCCCTTGTGAAGTGTACACCCTTGTTGTCTATACACGATTCCTGTCGCAAAATACTAAATACGAGAGAACATAATTGATTCCTCTGCAACTTCCTTGACAAATGTCTTGGATGTTTTATGAAACTACCGCAGTGAGGTTATAGTTTAATGCCGATAAACACGTTTGTACTTGCTGAGTCATTATTTCGCATAGTTAAGGATAATGTGTATAATGTGGGATACTACATATGTATACTATATATAGTCATACTTTGAGGTCAACGAAGTGACATCGTTCGTAACTGTGTCGTCAAAGCCTTGTTGTTGTGCATGCGACAATAGGAGATGAAGAAGCGCGCTAACACCAACACTCTGCCTTGACCCTTAAAACCTCAACCTTCACCTGCTCGTGAACGCTAAGATCATCCTGCAAGATGGAAATTATTTTGTGCCCAACTTGAAGCCCATGTTGAGGGCGAGATGCCACGAAGCGACCGCCTTGCACTATTGGTCTTATGATTGAACAGAGATTGTTGTTGAAATTAAGTATAGGTTGTAAACAGTTTTGCAATTTGTTTTACTATCGAAATAGTCTAGTCATTCCTGTTTTTCTTCGAATTCGAAGCAAATTTTAGTAGAAGACCCGTACCTTGCAAAACACGTACCTCAACGCTTTTGAAATTATAAATTAGAAGCATCACGCGTAAGGCACGAGTTTGATATGATTAGTTGTTGTTCGCACACATCAGCTCCACGTTTCTAATCATGACTCTGTAACCAGCTTCAAAGAGTTGCTGTCGTCAGCATCAATGTAATGTTGTTGGCGCGCAGTTTCGTTGGGTCGTGACTGCGAATATACGCAGCGTTCACAATGCCAACACAACGCACCCACTCGACTCATAAGTTCATGCTTATTGAAGGATCAGTCGTCCGTTCGTGTATAAACAGTAAATATTTTCCAAGCCGCCCAGAAAGTAGGAAGTAGTCCAAGTACTTTTCTTATTCCTGGGTTCAATCATTTTTATTAGTGCTTTGATTTCTTTCACTACTTTCTTTTAACTTTTTTTCAATAAAGCAAAAGGTGCGTTTTGTTCGCAGTATTTCTTTTCAACTTCGTACGCGTGCTGACCGAATTATTAAAGTTTCTAAAAGAATTAATTTTGCTGGAGAAAGAGCTCACTGGCGGAAAATTTTCTTTACTTCGTTAAGTAGCGCGTAAAATACGCCAAGTCACCACTGGCTCCCATTCATCATCTACGGTCATTCATTTTTCAATCTGCCTCCCATGGCGCGATTCTCTTCTGTCGTGCATGGTTGCGAGAACTCTTATCGATCAAAAGTGTCATCAACTCGTCCGAGTTGCAGGGCTTGCTGTCTATGTATATTAGAGTCGTCACCTCAATAAGACCACTGTTAAGGCGAATATGTAAGAAGAACCTCTAGCTGTGTTAAATAGCTAGCTGGTCAGTATTCACATCGCTCATGTCTGAATTATTCCCGTTAAAATAGGTGAAAAAAACCGTGTATACGCAATATGCTAACGATAATCATAAAGTTGCTAAAATGATCTTCCTGGTTTCCTATTGAGAAACTCTTTTTACCACTTACTCGCGTTGCGAAATACTTCATAATATGTATTCCTGACACATAATTAATTGAAAATACGCGTTCTTTATACTAAGTTAAAAGCGTACGTGCATCACTAAGACGGTTTTTATTTTAAAAATCCTACTTTTGTACTTTTTGTTGACCATTCGGCCTCGCTCATAACAAAATAAATAGCTTCGAACTCGATAGAAACAAATATAAGGTCTGGCTCTCATCTTCATGCCAACAATCCACAGCTTTCTTTATGCTGCTGTTGTTTTGGCATCATTTGCTTAAGAATAATAATAGACCCTCCAATTATCATTTCATTATTTGCATCTCTTGTCGGCAAAGAACAGCTATTATTAAAAAAATACATCGTAATTTACAAAATTAAGTGTACACCGACTGGCCTAGATAAAGTTGCGTGAGTGATGCCCTGGATGCAACGAACTTCTCTGGCACTGATGAGACGAAGCTGACGTTTGTGAGATTAAAATTGACCGGCACTCACAGAGGTGCGATTGTTGGTCAGTGGCAAGCTACTGCGCAGCGCCCCGACCACACTTGCGCTTGCTAAATCTTGAAGAACACTCGAGTCGTCCTCTTTATGAACGGAATGCGGTCACTGCTCCTCCTGAGAAACGATGCGGTAGTTATCTAAAGCTGTGCACCGAAACTTGTATGTTATAGAAAAATAACGTATATTTATAATTTATAATTATGTTTCCTTAAAAGAATTTTCCATGGAGAAACATCTGCACATCTCTAAAGAAAAGGGCCTTAAAGAAAATTGAATTTTTGTCGAAATGAAAACGCCTTGTCCTATCCCTGAATTTTTTCCCTTCTTGATTGATGTGATAATTGAATTAATGGATTTTAACTTTCACCATTTGTTCACAGAAGTCGGATTCGGCGTCCCTGATCAACAGATTTCGAGGCCTACACAAGGACATGTTACACAAAATAGCAAAAGTGAAAAGTCCTCGTGGAGCGCCGTCCACAGGTGATGGTTAGTAGCAAGTTTTTAGTTAAGTTCTCTACAGTAGAAGCATGCACGTAAGTTATTTTAGGAAAAACGGGCACTTGAGTTTTCCGAAGTAGAAGAATGCACGCAATATATTTTCAGTAAAACGGGCACTTGAATTTTTCGAAGTAGAAGCATGTACGTAAGTTATCTTAGGAAATACGGGCACTTTAGTTTTCGCCAGTAGAAGCGTGCACGTAAGTTCATCACATTAGACGCATGTACGCACTGACCGAAAGTAATCAGTTTAAGATTAAATATTTTCGTGTTACAATTGGCTTTTGATGGCATGATGAACTGAAATTATAGAATGATGACAGCACTAATCCCCTGAATTAACCTACACCCCACAGACGAGATACATTGAAAAGAAAATGATCGAATTTGTTTCTAAAGAGCTTCTGCGTTATGCAGACAATGACACCTCTGTATGTGCGCTCCTGACTTCTAGCAAAGCTTCTGATCTAGGAAATTCCTCGAGCTCCGTCCTCTTCAGAGCTTCGAGTTTCCTTTGAATCCTGAGACATTATTCTTATTGATTAATTCTTATGTACTCTTGAATCTTCCAACGCCATTCATATCGGTAGGAAAAAAGTAGTTGCCATAATCTTGAAGTTTTGGTGTAATTTAATTATTATTTGAGCGTTGCCGATGATCGTGTACATTAGGCGTTATGCAACAAATGATCACTGAATAATGATAGTGAACCTCTTTTCTGTTGGCATCCAACTTGAGATGACCGCTGATTGTCTGCGAATGACAGAAAAGACTGCAATTCATATCTTAAATAGCCAGTCCTTTGGTGCTGATTTTGACCTCAATTCTTCTTTTATTCATGTGCGCGTGACGCGTGCTTTGCTATGAACATGCAATGCATTCAATTTATCTTGCAGATTTGCAAGTGGACGGCAGAGTTGCGGACGGCCGTTGTCATGCTCCGTGTTCCTCGGACGCGGACGGTGTCACTCTACGAAGTGAGTTTATGGCAGGACCTAACATTTTTTTCTTCGACTCCAGAGATAAGCTCGATTTTACGTTTAAAAAATTCTCTTATGTTCGAATGCATTGAAATTGTAATAAAATTCAATTAATTAACGCCGTCATTAAATTTAAAAAAAATTAAATCAATCGAATGTCAAAATAAACATCACTCTTAATGGCACGAAAAAATTTGCAGTTTTAAGTAATAGATTCAATTACACATGACAATACCATCTAATAGTGAGGAATTTACGGCAGAGCGTGCGAACAGTGAGAGTGGACCTCAGTCGCCCCCCTCCCCGGCGCCCTACACCGGCCCCTTCATTGGGCGCGCCGTGGCGCTCACAGACTTCCAGCCCTCGCCTTACGACGTCGACCTCCTCAAACTTAACGTAAGAGTTGACCTCAAATTTAATGTAGGAGTCGACTTCCTCAAACTTGATGAAAAGTTTTTATACATATCTGTATGAGTAATATTGCTCTGATCTATCACTTTACTACCTATTAGCGTTTTTGATTGATATTATAAAATTGATCAGATAATTGTTTACAGAAAGGTGACGTGATCGACATAATATCGAAGAGTCCATCGGGTCAGTGGAGAGGCTGCGTGGACGGTCGAGTAGGAAACTTCAAGTTCATTTTCGTGGAGGAGGAGACTGAGCGCGACAGGCTGCACCGCAAGCTGCGAGGGCAGCGAAGCTCCCCTCTTGAGCAGTTCCCTCATGCGTCCCTCGAGGCTCTCCTACGGCACTACAAACTCGGGCATCTCCTACAAGTATGTCGGTCGGGAATTTGTGCTTGGACTCTAACCAGGTTTAGTTGCTATTTAAGAATAACTCTTTTTTAATGCTTTTTTGACTTGTACCTTTGTTCCTAAATTACTTAGTGGTTTGCGCCATAAAAAGTGGTTGAATTCACGCCCGATAAGGAATTAAAGTTACAACTTTGAAAATAAATTCAAATCCATTGATAAATATTTGCGGTGTTTATTTAACGAAGTATCTTCAGTAGATAATTTTTTGTAATCAACGATTACATTTTATTTCACATTTATAAATATAATACAGCAATAAAACTTACCGGTTTGTCATCATACGACTCGCTCCTGAACAATGTGAAACGTTTAGCCATGTATAATATATTCGCGGTTTCAGCGTTTATTTGGCCGTAGGCCTGTCGCCGATCGCAGAACATTCACAGTTTATTGCGGGCTCGAACGCTCAACTCACTGCTACAATTCTGCTGTGCTGACCGCCCGGCCTCCTCACCGATTCCGACCAAAAACTGGCGCCCAGTGCTGGGATCGAACCCGCACCTCTCTGCTCTATCCTGATACTTTGAACTGTAACCACTGAGCGTCATCGGAGCTCATATAATCACGAAATTTACTCCTGATGCAGTTCTAAATCTTGTATTGATACGTAAAGACCCATTTTTTCCATTTCTCCTTCTTCTGTCCGGCCTCTTCTTTTCCACTCTTTCCTAGTGGCACCGCAACGACAAAGGCCCATTGACGCCCGCCGACAATTGTTTGCAAACATGATTCCGGTTGTTGCAAACACGCTGTCGTTCGAATGCCCGAAGGTGTTTAGTATTTCTTGAACGCGCGGTGCGATCGTCATTTCTAGAAATGAATGTACGCGGGCGTTATTGAAGGGATACATTTTTTGGAAAATTAAACAAATAATAGGATATATATTTTAACTAAGACAATTGTTTGAGCACTTCACTTTCTGCAAGTTCAAAAGTCGACCACTGAAAATTGCGAAAAAAAATTCTGGTATTTAAATGTTTAGTTGAGAAAGTTTTGACAGCTCATTTCATGCCGGGAACTTCGTCAAATGTGCGAGAATAACCGTTCGCCCTTCTGTTAGTGAATGCTTTCCCCTGGTTAAAACTATGACAAACATGTGTCGACGTTCGTAAAAATTGCTCTGCTGGCGTAATGGGGCCTGTTCATTCATTCTTAATTTGAAACACTGGAACTGTTTGGCTTCGTTACTTTTTAGCGCATTTTCTCATTTATGGAAAAAATTCACTATTGTGCACGCCATGTCCGTCTGTCTGTCTGTCCGTGACCTCAAGTTTTCGTCGACGAGAAAATACGCTCTCTGTCACTCACTACAGTGAGTACTGAGTTATATTTTTTAAAACTATGAAAGCTCGATCCTTGATCCATTCATATTTAACATGTTTAATTTATCTTGTGCAGTTATTTATCCTGCATGGTTACGAGACTCTTGACCAACTACGTGAGTTGGAGGAACAAGATTTGGACAGTCTGGGCATCCGAGACACGGACACTCGAGCTACGCTGCTCGCTGCCGTCACCTCCATCCTAGAGTATGAGCAAACTAGCATCGTGTGTCACGTCTCTGAAGCCAGCGTCACCAATAACACATCATCGTCGTCTAGAGATTCCGGCTTCATGGATCATAAAACATTGAATGCTGGCTTGATACCTGAAGTGGAATACGGCAACGCAGACGGCCGACAGTCTTCTCCATCTACTGATAATTCTTCTGGGTACCAAAGTAGAGGCAACTACAACATCGCTCATCCGGGAGATGTTTCAAGCACTCTTCAGGAGGTTCCTGACACGACCTTAGATTCCACTTCTTCCACCGAAGAAGACCTTACCTCTAAAGAATTTAAAAAGAATAATATCGCTAGGGCGCCCTCTGACCTGGACACCAGAGAACCCGACTCGTACAGAGCGACGCCGGTCCTTGTGCGGCCCGGCACCCCGGATTCGTCCCCGCGGCTGCGGAAGAAAGTTACGGATGACCGCGACGGTGATGCGTCGGCGCGCTGCAGCAGCGACACTGGCGTGTCCCTGCATTCAGATGCGGGACAGTAGCAATAAGCGCGCAGCTCAGTCCTTTTATGATCTTTATTACTATTTCGAATTATTACTATAGCAATTATAAGAAGTAAATATTTTATTCGTATCTGCAATACTTCGTACAACACGCTTAGTCATCAGGTCATTTCCTATTAATGCAGTCTATGATAGAGGGTAAGAATAAATTAAAATTTTGGAAAGGAGGTATAGGAACGAATGAATTTATAACTTAGAGTTTAACCAAGAATTTTTATTTTATTAGAGGAATTGTTCTCAGCATGGACAAAACTCAAAACTAGTGTAGTTATAATCTAAGCGTGACTGTAAATAAATATATTCAAGATAAAAGATGAACTGGTGCAATGCTCCGAACAGTCACATCGGTGCGTGTTACTGATGTGTCGTCTCAAGAGAAACAATCCGGTTTTTAATAACTTACAGACCCAACCGGTTGCTGCTGTAGCCTGAATGGCGTAATTTGTTATTTCGTGTAGATGATAACCAATTTGTGGCATTTTATCTCAGCTGAACAACGATCAAGTTTTGAGTGATAGTCAAGTTCTCGTAAATGTTGGAGCCAAACTCGAGTCAACGTTCCTCAGTCACGTAGTCTTCCTATCTATTAAGAATATTACGAAACGTTCATCATGTTAGATTATTACAAATATGTCAAAGACAGATCACTCAACTTGATGTACTCTGTACTCGTGCATGTTCTTCGTTCTCAACCGATGTAGGATCTTATTGAGAATTGGAGTTCGGAAAGTTTGCCTGGTATGCCCGTCTTAGATTCCGAGATGATCTGGCAGTACGGTACTCGTGAAGCTCCTTCTAATCTGCCTGAAAATATTTCAATAATTTGGCCCTAGAACCTCTCATAGAATCTTTCAAACTGCTTTAACTTGTTAAATTATGGCTGCAATCGTATCGATGCGGAAGCAGTTTTATTAAAGATTAGAAACTAGTTTGTAAGTTAACTTTGTGTAGGTCGTGATTTCTCGCTCCTTCTATGCAAAATAAAAATAGATTTCGTGAGTTCGGGCTTGTGCTGCTCGACATTCTGGATGCCAAATCTAAGCTATGCATTGCTCAAGTGCCGATGAAGATTGCATGTTGTATTCCTCCTCATATTCGCAAATGCGATTTTTCACACTAAAATAGAATAATTATATGAACACGTGACGTAAAACAATGGCAAAATTAAACTACAAAAAAACGTTCCATAGTTTCACTTTGCGAGAACCACACACTTGACTCGCAGCAAAGTCGAGCACGAAATGATCGTGCATTACATAAGCCTAGGGCTCAGACGCATACAAAAATGTGTCTTCATTTTTGTCCCATATTGCCGAACCAAAACAGACACGCACTAAATGATGTTTAAACTATGAAATGATGTTTAAACTATGTGATGTAATCCGTGAACCTAAGAACACAGGTTAAAACTCGACACAATCAGCAGAGGTGACATTCATGTTACCGACAGACACGGAAACATGTGGTCTGCCCGCCCATTTGCGTTTGCCGATACCTCGAATAGACTTTTTCGCCTGCAATCAATAATTCTTACGCAAGACAATTATGAATGATATTCTCTCATTTCTAGCATAGTTCTTGTTCTTTCTTGTAAATAAACGGAATAAATAACTTTGTTTTTCATAGCCGTTTGTCCTTTTATAATTACCTAAAGAAGAGCAATAAAAATTGTTCCACTCGACAGGAACCGAGACGAGGCTTCATTTACACACAATCTTGCTATCTGGCCTTCCAGCGTCTATGCATCTGCAGCTTGTAAGTGAACCATCGTCTAAACATATAGTAGTAAGCGTATCAGGACCGACAAGGCTAAATCAAATAAAATCTTAACGCAATCTATTAGTAAAATTTACAGCTTAAAAATAGTTCAACATTTAATTCTATCTATTAAAAAGCTCGAAACATTTTTCAGAAAGTATGGGAACAAGAATGAAATGTCAGCCATTCAAATTAGAAATGAAATACGTTGGGCTAAGCAAATTTTTAATCTCAATATACGCAATACAATTCAAATGGTAACTAAAGATACGTTTTGATCGGAACTTAAATAAATCATGCAATCTCGCCACGCTATCGGGATTAAACATTAATAGAATAATTCGAACGCGTTGAGGAACAAGGTTAAAATCAACAGAACAACAAAAATGAAATGAGGTAGAAACTAGAATGCAAAAGAGTTCAATTTGAGAGCTCGGCTCAGACATCCAATTTCCAGCCATGTCAATGAACGGAGCCTAAAATAGGACGAAATTATCTCACAAATGATAGGTAGTATTAACATAAATAGCAACAATCTTCTACTTGCTAATGATGAGCTAAGGGATATAATTTTTTCGTTGACATTCTACAAATTTCTCTAAAGATCTTCGATGTTTACATTACAATCCATAGAAAAAAAAGCACGAACATCGTGATTCTCATACTACCTCTGAGTCTGCTTTTGATCATGAGCTGCGTAACATCAAAAATCTTGAATGCTCAAGCTTATCCCAAGCTCTGCACTATTGATCGATGTTCTTCCGCTTCTTTGCCGTTATTCTCATTCAGCATTTTCAATTGAGAAATCGTCTGACATGGAATGGGTATTATCTAACTACTTCCTCGTTGTGTGAGCGTCTGATTCTTTTCATCAAGATAACACAGCCCTGAATGAGCTCTCTGATCAAGCAATTCGGATCCAGTACATTCAGTCACGTTACGAGTCGAAACATTTGACCCAAGCACAACACAGCCTAACCATCGTCAAATAATAGTAAATAAAAATATCATGGAAAGTAATACGATACTGAAATATTAATGGTGTTGCTCAAATGAACTCCCAAGAGACTTCAGCTAACGTCCACTTCCAACAGCCTAGTTTGATAGTAATGCAGCATTAACAAATGGGAACCAACACTAGTGATCCCGAGCTCATTGGTCACTACCATAGAATCAGAGTAATTACATCCTTGACGACGTCCGAGCAGTCCAAATATTAAAGATGTGTATAATTACCGACAAATAGCATACGGAAATTGGTGAGGAAGTTTACATTAGTAAACGATGAAAATTATCGATGTGGAATACAATACAAAATTCTATGATCCTATGAAGTTGTTGAAAGAACTTCACTGGCATCTCTTCTATTCGCACTTTCGTGGGAACCTAAAAGCAATTATACATCATCCATCGTCTTTGAATGAAGGAACAAGTCTCAGAAAATACGAAAACAGGCCTCAGCATAACGTGACAGCGCACAAATAAACTCTTAATTCAACAATAGTTATCTATTAATTAAAAGAATGAGAAAAAAATAAACATATCAGAGACGGAGTAGGCAATCGAGATAAATGTACGTCAACTGCGATTAACCATATCATGAGATGCGCAGATAAAATAAAACATGGGATATCAACTATCTCAGTAAATCTCAGGAGCAGTGAAAATCAGAACAAATATTCAGTAACAATGGTGACGTATGTATAAGGGCAAAAGTATAGTATAAAATGAAGGGTAAACCAGATAAAATACAAAAATAATCTCTTACGGAATATATAACCACAGACATTTGCGAAATGTGCTGAAGTTATTGTAGATACAGACATGCCAATTCATTGCAACTACACAAAAATATGGAAATCTTGTGAGCTGCTTCCGAATCAACTTCTTGATCACTTCATTGCGCCATAACAAAACCATACGAGCCAAGATACTTTTTTCTCATGCTCACTCCTGGCAGTAAGATATTCTGACACGTTCAAAACCTGGTACCCGGGCAATGGTGCCAAGTCTTGGGAGGAAGTTACAAAAATAAGGCACTCCAGCACGGACCAATATGAAGCATGACGGATCAACTTTCTTACCAGCCTCCATGCCGGATGTAATCATTGAATGCAAGACAAGCTCATTCACCAGTTCATTGTAACGCAGCTCAGGTAAACATTATGTTCACAAATTTTTCGTCTGGTCGAATTGATCAATGTTGCAGAGATGCCAATAATTCGAGAAAAAAAAACGCATCAAGATTATTATTGATATTGAGAGTTTGGTTTCTGTAACATTATAATTGTCATCAGAAAAATAAAGGAATTGCGGAAGCATTAAATGAATTATGAGTCCATGCTCAATCGCCAAAACATCCATGCCGTCTAGAAACCGAATTTAGAGAGTAAACAAATTAAAATGTGTCGTCAAGTATCCAGGAAAATATTCATATATCGTTAATTGGGTATATACTATTAGAAAAGGTTATTAATTGAAATAAACTGTCCACGCACTTGTATTACTACGTAATATTCAAGCCAAACAAACATCCGATTTCGAAACTATGATTTAAATTACACTCTCATATAAACTTAACACAATATTAGTTGAAGGTGATCTATAAAGTGTGCATCAATAGCAACCACAGGAATTACCCAAGGTATCACAGAACTTACAAATTTCAAATCTACGGTTGAGGGAAAAACTTATAAATAAAAAAATCATCAAATTATCTAGAATATTGCATACACACAAAGTTGGATACGAGACAGAAGTTCAGCTACAAAGCTATCTCAACACAATGTGAGTATGGCATCGTGATGCCATAACTATTCTAAAATAATGAAAATTTCAAAATACAAAATTTTTTATGAAACAGAATCGGTCATTCAGAAATTTATTATGGTGGATGGAGAATAACGTTCAATACCAATACAACTGCAGTGCATCATTCTGCATTGTTACATGGATACTTCATTCAGTGAATTGCTCATGAGCTTTGATATTCTCTCCAATGAATTTGTTGCAAGAAGCCCCCCTCATCAACCTAAACAAAACGTTCCTCGTGAAGACGTTCCTTTCTTACAATGCTAGGAAAACAGCGGTAATCAGATAATTTTCATATCTTAATGCAGAAATGCTATATGAAGAATTTGTAGAAAGGACTCAACTTCACACCACGAATACGCAACGTCCCACGTTAATATCGTGTCATGCCAAAAACTTCAGCAGCAGCTGCCAGCTTCCCTAACACAGAGCAAGGCAACAATGAACTTCGGTGCGTTTACCTGCTGCGTTGTAGTTTTTATCACGAAAGAACCTATTCAAGAATAATACCAGGTTGTCGTAAGCAACATCACATGCTCCCAGACAATGAGTACACAAACGCAATGTAATCACCCAAATCTCAAATGACATAGAAGATGTTTTTTACACAGTCATCGCCAGACATCTTGTTCACAAACAAAAATTTAAGCCATGAAATAGTTGGCTCCTGCTAGTACTTTTACTAGTAATACTTTTTGATGGACTACTAGTAAAATTAAAGTCCCTCTGATGACAAACAGTCCCATTTGAGATGCACTTCAGGCGTGAAGTTGACAATCTCGACGTGCGTTGCCTGCATCTTCTCGCGCTTGGGTGGAATAGGACAGAGTCTGTAGCGCACCTCGTCGCCTTCCAGCGGCACATACTCGCCCTCAATGCTGCAACACAATATTTGTCTTTACACACAAGGTAAAATCAGTCTCAAAGTCAGGATAAACGTTTTACTAGGGGATAATTCGTCTTCAATCAATTTATCTCTGATCAAGCAATTAATCAAAACATTCAGATCCAGTAAACATTCAGAACATACATAAAATTGCTAACATTTCAGCTGCTAATGCGCAAAACATCACTGTAATTCTTCTAAATGCACTCAATACAGTAGCAAGCTTCAGAGTGAATGATAAATGTTGATGAAAATAAGGTTTCCATCCATCTAATCAGAAAATAAACTTTAAGAATAGTTAATATAACAATTAATAGTTAATTTTTTAGTTATATAATTTATAAAAGAACAATATACACTTTTTAACATTGAATAGCTTCAGAAACATATCTACAAAGAGACTCACTCAGAAATGTGTACAAAAAGATCTTCCCCGCCATCATTCGGAGTTATGAAGCCGTGGCCCTTCTTACGGCAGAAAGACTTAATCTTGCCCATCACCTCTGGGTTGCTAAGGGCAATTTGACACCTGCAAGTAATAGGTTTGATTAGTTTCAGCTTGAAAGATGGAAACGGTGTTGAAGTTATGAAGTTGGCAACCTTATATTATGATCTATTCATGGATTGGGGACACCTGTAAAATGCTTTCATTCAATCATTAAAAATTTGTATCATTCCAAATACAAATTAATTGGCTTTATGGGCAATTAAAAAAAATGCTTGTAGAAATTTTCTTTCTAACATAGTTTTTCACAGACTAAACTAGGCATGGGGGCCATAGTTATGGATGATAATTTACCAGAGGCACATTTATTTTTTGCTTATTTACAATTGGCATCTGCCGGCATCAAATTTCTAGTCTGTTACAGGAGACTGACATTAGGCAAGGTGACCAAGGTCCCATTCTTCCATCTGCATTTATGGATTTTGGATATATATATATATATAATATATACCTATGCAAAATTATAGAAACTTACGTGGAATGAGTGCGAGTGCGGCGCGTGACAATAGGAGATGGAAGTTGGAGAGTGAGTCCTCCAGAGATGGGGCTGCCAGGGCTCATTCTTGGAGGTTTAGTTGGGGTATTATTTTCTGACATTGTTATTCAATTACTTCAATCTGCTAAGCAAATACAGTTATTCAGAGAGTGGAAATACAAAAAGTGAAAGTGGATCTGCAAAACGGAAGAATATGATTTGCATAATAACAAAGATGTGCACTTACATTGATAAAATAATGACATCAATAAATGGGCTCCAAAACAAATCTTATCTATAGAGGCAATGGGAAAGTTAAGAAAAAAACATTCTCATATTATCACCAAAGGTTGGTTTATGTTGCCTCTCATTAGCACATAAATAAACAGGCTAATGTTATAGGGAAACATAAAATTTATGCATGAATGCAAGTTAAAACTATTCACATGAAATTAGTTTTTGAGCCTTAAATTTTATGTGTGTCACACAGTATTACTTACACTAGTAAATATACAGCTTAGCAGCTCTTTTTAATCAATTAGTCAAAGCAAATTCTTAAAGTTGTACTCTGGATGACTGGACTCTGCAGGCAATAGGTTTATGTATACTAAACTCCAGCCTCTGGGGCTGGTAAAGTCCCATTTTTTTCTGAAATATTGTGGCTCTAATATCATATAATTTCAGTAGGTATGAAATATTGCGGCTCTAATGTCATGCATTTGCGTTTGATTAAAAAATTGCAGTTTGGCAAACATGTTGTTTTATAAAATTTTCAACTTCCACAATCCGCACTACTTCAGCAATCCAGCCAAAATATCCTGCACAACAGAACAACAAGTCACCCTAAAACATTTCCTTATAGATCAAATACTTGTGGTCAGGTCAGAGCAGTCAGACACTCAAGACTGCATTATCACGTGATCAGTTGCCACTCAAGTGAAGACAAATTATGTCAGTGTTGACTGTTTTAGGGTAAAATTAGGAAATAGGGTAACACGTGTATATATATGAGACTTAGTAGAAAGTTTGCAGCTGCCGGCTCATAAATGGCTTTTAATGGCTGACTGGCAGCTGAAACCTGGAATTCACAGCTCAAAGACATTGAATAACGGCTCAATGAAATGGAATCATGCTGGAAAATCCATAAAACCACGGCTACCAAAATTCAGTCGCAGCTTGCAGAGTAGACTATAGATATATTCCATCATTTCCATGCCTGTTGCCTGCTGAACTCCTAAGTCATGGACCACTGTGCAGAGAGTGGATGAATATTGCAAGATCTTTGGTGACACTTCAGTAGCAAAAATTTACGCCTTGAAATCTTGCCGACACACTTAGATTGAAATTCTTACATTCAATATATTTGTCAGTCTTCAGCCAACTATTTAGAAAAAAGTGAGGTTTCCGGTATGTTGGATAGATCAGGATGCAGTGAAGCTTGTCCAGAAATCAGTTGCGATGAGTTCCTGCCAAAACACCAAATGTAAACAAGTTTATGATTGCGTAGTTGCGGTCACATTAGAGCGGTCAGCCTGCATTATCACATGTTCAGTTGACACTTACTGTACAATCGGACTGTTTTTAGGGTAAAATTAGTTTTTTGGGGTAACACGTGCATGCAACCTTGTAAATAAGTTTGTGGCTTGTTTTTCATTAAGGTACTCAGCGTAAAAAAATAGTTTTTCATTACTCAGCCTAAATGGCTTTTCATTAAAATTTACCTGGCAATGCATCTTGAAAATGGTTGGCAATGCTTTGGGCTTAAAAACCCATATATTGGTGACGCTGCTTCCACCCTCTGCACCCTGGGTCATGGATGATGGGTATTGCTGTATTGGGTACCTATGACATACGAATGCCAAGAAATTCCATTTAATAGGACTTGTATATACCGTCAAATGGGTAAAAAGGGCAGTTTTGAGCATTTTTTGTTGGTAACATCTTACCATGAAACATTTCATAAATGGGTCTGGGCTCATTTTAAAGGTCTTTCCAAGGGCTATCATATGGCATCTCCAAAAATTTCCAAATGCTATTTGTAAGGTGCTAGATGCAATATAAAAGGCTCCCGAATTAATCTGGAAATGGGGCAATTAGGGACACTTGAGATAAAACTCAATTTTAAAATGTTTGAAGCACGCAGAGTGAACTCATGTATTACTAACAGTGCTTTGAAGTCCTCCTCTTTCATTGTAGTTGATGTAAATGTAGAATAAATAAATTTTCTGTGATTTTTACTTGTTTTTCCTTTATTGATTTGATATTACCATATTCATTAATTATTGTATTATTAATGTGATATTACCGTATCCATGGACATGCCATAGAGCATTAACATCAACCTTGTCCACTGCAAGCTTAATATCAGCAGCCATGTAGCATTTCTTCTGTCTCTGTAAGCTTACAGGATGGCTTGTAATTTTGCACAATTTTAATTGAGTCGAGTGATTTTACTATAACAAAAAATATTGTAAACACATACCTGAATCAGGAAGGAATTATTTAGTGACAACCATCATATTTTTTGAAGAAATAAATCATAGTTTAGGTTATTATTTTTCATTCTTTGTTGCCCAGTGCTCAATTCTATCTATGACATTCTTATGTACAATTTGGTGATGAGTGATGACTGATGCAGTAATTTTTTGTTGAGCGAAATTTTTTTCACTGAGCAAGGTAAATATAATCAAATTTTTTTGTTGTTAATTGATTTTTTCATTAACTGGAGCCTTTGCTAACCAAGGCTCTACTACTGTTACTGTAAATGCAGTTTAGGGGGTGTTCCTAAATCCTAATTACCCAGTTTTGCGGAAATGGCCGCCATTTTTTCTTGGAATGAGATGTGCAAATTCTGTCAATCATGTTTTCAAGCCAACACTAGTGTGCAACTTTTATGTAAGTAAGGTTTTTTAATATGACAAATATTTTTTCTGCTACAGACCTTAGTTAGCTTAGTAGAGGTCATAGTGACAAAGCAGAGACCTTTTTAGACTCTCCCTCAAGTTCATTTTTGAGTCCTATAAGTAAACCAGTAAAGTATCATGGATACCAGCATTATCATACTTAAGAAATTGGTTTAAATCTTGAGTTTTGGGAAAATTAAAAATGAACTGATTACAAAAAAGCTCTGGTTTGCCACACTAGTAGAGGTACTTTTCCAAAATCTCACTTTTCATACTTCTTTTCAGGGATTTTTTAGAGGTAATCAATCTATGATTTCTCAACTTGCTTTATGCTGCATAGATAGTAAAAATGTTCAAATTTACGCCACTATTTTTAATTTTGCAATTGTTTGATTAGTTTAGCTGCTATAGCATTTCTACAAAATGTTGGAGGACATTAATATGACAAATATTTTTTCTGCTACAGACCTTAGTTAGCTTAGTAGAGGTCATAGTGACAAAGCAGAGACCTTTTTAGACTCTCCCTCAAGTTCATTTTTGAGTCCTATAAGTAGAACTAGACCAGTAAAGTATCATGGATACCAGCATTATCATACTTAAGAAATTGGTTTAAATCTTGAGTTTTGGGAAAATTAAAAATGAACTGATTACAAAAAAGCTCTGGTTTGCCACACTAGTAGAGGTACTTTTCCAAAATCTCACTTTTCATACTTCTTTTCAGGGATTTTTTAGAGGTAATCAATCTATGATTTCTCAACTTGCTTTATGCTGCATAGATAGTAAAAATGTTCAAATTTACGCCACTATTTTTAATTTTGCAATTGTTTGATTAGTTTAGCTGCTATAGCATTTCTACAAAATGTTGGAGGACTGTCCCTTTTTACCCCGTCTGTCCCTTTTTACCCTGTTGCCTGTTTGACAATATATACAGAGACTGCCTGAGCAGCCTGAGACTGGGAATCAATAAATAAAGGGGTTTGACAATTGGACAACAAAATAGGGAAAACTAGACACTTAACACTTTGATATCCTAATTTTTCAACATATCATAAACAATGGAAAACAATTCCAGTTCATTTCTGAGTCTTACTCCTATAAGTAGACCAGTCAACAACAATGAGTCAACTTCAGTCAAGTACCTAGGTAGTATCATGAACATGAATCATGATTCATGGATGCCACTTGCCAGCATTATCATACATAACTTAACATAAGAAATTGCTTTAAATCCTGATTAAATGAGGAAATTTAAAAATGAACTGATTCTAAATAATCTGAGGTTTGTCACTATGCATGCACTAATAATAATAATGCTGGCAGGGCAGATACTTTCATGTTTCAAAACATTGCCAACTGGCAACTGCCAAGTGTATTTAGGCCTGACAGCCCTTACTTCTTCTTGTAGCCTGTAGCTCAGTAGCTGTAGGTACATATATGCTATCGCTAACGCACAATAAGTTACGACTGTTACGTACATTTAGCGATTATTTGAAAGTACGGCCCCAGACAAATGACAACACACGCCTTCGACCGGTTCTTCGTACTACTCGTACTCGGTACTAATACCGTAATACGCAGTAGAGTACGGTCTAACCGTCTAACTAGGCTGGTTACCGCTGGTAGTATGGTTTAAGTTTTAGTGTTTTACCAGTCACACGATTTTTAATTTGTTTCTTGGACGCTTGGGCTCAAAAGGCTGCTGCCCTAATTCCATTGATAAAAAATAATTTAACCAAACGATTAAACAAGAAGAATGTGGCGTTAGATATATAGTATTTAAACCTTTGTGAGTTTTCTTCTACACACGGCTTACATGCTTCCAGAAAGACGAAAGATTGAGCACTAATGCCGTAATGGCCCAGCTGTTCCGGAATCACCAGGAAATCCATGGTGTTTAACCATGAGGCAATTTTTCAACAATTTGATGACGTTGAAGGAAAATAATGTAAATAATTAAACAAAAAATCAAAGTATCCTCAGGAAGCAAGAATATTTGTTTGAATATATAGATTCATTCAAATTGTATATGATGTATAATGCTATCTAATCGAAAATTGTTCATTAATGAGCTTAATTAATTGGCTGCGCAACTATTCCTATTACCAAAATGCAATAGTGCTCGGTAACTATGCAAAAAATCGCCCAAGATAAAATGAAAAATCAGGATTCTCTAGCCTGCATGTTAGAAGTGCCGTTCTGTTAATAGGGTTTCTTTGGGGAGGACATAGCCTCAGACATAGGACATAGCCTCAGATCATTGAGCTGTGGGTAACTCCGGCTAACAGTAAATCCGCTTTG